GCGGAGCCGTGGTATGCTTACATAGTCTTTTAATCACCTAAGATCAGACAGATCAGACATCGTTTATCTGGGTACTCAGTCACTGACCCTGATACCCCAGACGATGATCACCGTAGCGATCATTTAACAGCAATGGAGTCCTGTCACGGCGTAGTACCACGCGGTTCGGTTCATTTACGGAAGTACCGATATTTTGGCGGTTAAATAACGTTGAACAACGTCGAACAATGCCCTAGTCACTAACTGCCCTCGTCATCGGTACCTCGGCCTCATTTGGAACAACCTGTACAGCAGTTGCCATTTTATTGTCATAGTGGGTTTCGCTGTTCAACCGTCACGGTGTTGTGTTCTTCTGCTCACAGGCAATATTGACACGTCCGCGGCGTTGTCGTTGACTGGTTTGTCGTCCGTTTGATTTTGGCTGTCGTCGAGTGTTCTGCTCAGCTAGGCGTGTCCCACCCGCCCGTTCAGCCTGCCTCGCCATTCGGCTTGCAGCTTGTTTACACAAATATTAGTCGCCACTGGGGACTCTTTGCGCAGCTGATTGGGAGGTGATGCTGACCCCGCTATGCCTTTTATTCGCTCTGAGCGTAGTGGACAGCGAACTTCAGCTGGTACAAGTGGTAAGTTTAAGATTTAAAATGCTAAACGATTTTCACGTCTATTGTGGGATTACTCTACAAACTGATTTCGATGAATTTTATTAGACACATAATTTCGATAAATTTAGACAGATATATAAATGTATGTAAAACCGTTTCTGAACTCTACTAAGCTGTACGGTTAATTGAAGTTATAAGTCAATGGTATCATGTGTCTTTTGATTTCGTATGTAGCAGGACGAAAGCATATCTTCCTGTACTGATGTTTACTGTGTAATCGGAAGACTTGCCCTGTTTTCCGTTCTTACACAGCGAGGTGACGGTATAAGTTTAAGGAATCGTCTGAAATTACTTAATCGCCCAAATGTTAAACCGTGTGCCCCAGTGAATAGACTAGTAGTATAGAGTAGTTATGCTCAGAACGTAATGCCCTGATTTTTCTTACGGTTACGTACAGTGAAATAAGTTTTCTGCGAACTTAGAGGTTATCTTACTTCTCAGCCACATGTAATTCAGAGAGTTAGATTATCTGTCTGATTATTATATACATCGTTGAACCGAAGTAAACCGGATCCACGAAAAAAGACGGAATATGAGACATGGAAGTGAAACGCTGACCATGATCGAAATAACACACCTCGCGAGTTTCAGATCAGAGACGACGTATGAACGAAAACAAGCACCATCATGGATGGAAGCCCGAAAAAATTGAAATTCGTTCGGGAGAATTACTATATCAGGCCATGTTAGGTGGGAACAAAGAAACAAGCAAACAGAAACATGCAGATCAAGTGCAAACACCAGAAATGTGCTGGTGATGTCGATGACACGCCCATAACAGAAAATCCAGTATTGGAATATTCAGCGCAATGCAATCCAGCATTGAGACAGGATAAGGTCTCCCGACAAAAAATACTTTAAAAACGTGGAGAGCAGATGTAGCTTATTAGGCGAAAGGAAAAGCGGAACGTTATGGACATTACGGTGTATAGCCACATTGCGTGAGCCGCCGCCGTATGTACAGACATATACATATCAACGTTGTTGCGTCGTCCAGCACTAGAGGTTGTATGGAGATTTGTATTGTAAAATAAACAGCATGTGAAGAGCGGTCGCTCCTATAAAACTTAAAGTTTATGTACATCACATTGCCTAGAGCACTTCTAAATGAACTTGTTTAGAAAATATCTGACTGTTGCTTATTGCATAAGACAGTCCAGCAATTTAGGTACATGCTATATTATAGAGACAGCGCTAAAAATTTTCTGAATAATATTTGGTTCTCAACAACGGAATAATAATCATTTTTTAAAATGACGTAAAATCAGTGCATTCATTTTCCATCAATTTGTAATCGATCAATTCAGAGTCCATTTCCTCTCGGCTTGCCAAATCAACAGTTTCACTGAATGGTTTCGATTACCCCGACCCGCCAATCAGGCAATCTCAACAGGCTGAATTCAACTGAATTCACGTACTCAAATCTCATAGTCTTGAATTTACTCTGTGGTTTTTGGACGGTCAGGCATTGCGACAGTGCTATATCGATCATACTTCCAAATCACTGCATCTGTCTTCTTTCATTTGATAGCAGCAGTAGCTAATATATCATAGTATCTCGTCTATCTCGTTTAAAATTTTGTCGAACCTTATGACACAACGTTACTGGATGAGAATCTGACGAAACTGCGGAATAAAGCAATGCCGCCAAGTCTCTCCATATGTCTACCTTCATCTATGTTCATTAGTGATGAAGTAAAGAAAAGAAAAGAAAGTTTGTAACCTTTGGAACATTGGCCTGACGTCCACGTTAATGATCAGGCCATTTATGGTGCTGTTCGTTTGATGAAGGTAGCGGTGAAGCGCTGATCTCCATTTTCATGCCACCAGTCGAGGGTGTCATATTTTTAGACGCAGAGTCGATGGCATAGACATGGCAGTCGTCTTGTACAGGCTCCTGTTTCCTTTCTTGGAAGAAGGTGGGCAAGTGACCCGACCGTGAGCTCTAACCCTTAATCTAATTGTTCTGATTCCGACGCTCTACCGACTGGGCAACCTCGATCTGGTCTCATGGTGTGATGGATAATGCCAGTAAGAAAGGTAGAGACAGAAACTTACGGTACGTTCGAAATATTACAGATGTGACCAGATGCGATGAACTTTGGAACTTATAAATTGCCTTTGCTATAGTGTGAGTTACGCTCCTCATTGGCAGTTCTTCATATATTTGACATCGTTCTGTAATTTCTGCAGTATCTGTTCTTTCTTTTAAGCTGTTATTTGAAGTTGTTTTTTCACCGCGCAAGGGGATCTGTCGTTATTCGTATTACACCTGCGTGTCCGCTTAATTAGTGGCGCAAATATCTAAAATATTTTTTTTTTAAACGAGTTTCCATATTGCTATTGGTTTTACTAGCACTGATGACTTTTGTGTATTTCAAAATAAATTTTCTAGATATTCCGTCATGGAGATCGTACGCCGACCAAAACGTATCCCACAAGCCCATATCAGCTTAAGGATATACCATATGGATTTTCACAGCTGACCGAAGTAAAAATTGCTTGTAGTGATTATGTAGACTTGGTGAAAAAATAGCTGGACAACGGTTTACTTTATAAGACAACGCAAAAGATACTGTGGTCAGTTGTGTTACTGATTAATACCGACGTTTCAGTAATCTTTAAGTTAAATTGGTGGTATTGTTTCGTGAATATGGTGTTGCCTGCAGCAGTCGATAATTTGGGAGCCAAAAGGCAATCTTTCGGTCCGTGCTGCTGACTGAATAGTTTTTCGGTGACAGGGGCAACGAGGCTCATCCTATCTGCGCAGAGTTGGTTTTCTTTGTCACGGCTGAGCTGACGTTTTGCTACAAACATTTTCGGAATTGTTTCTAGGGATTGTTACAAGAAGCATTGATTTATTTACAGATTTCAAAATGTTTCGTAACGGAAGTGAAAAATCAACTATGTTTATGAACAATTTGATTATAATAGGATAATCAAACAATCAAGTTGTTAGTGTTCGGGAAGCCAGTCTTGAAATCTGCCTCGTGAAAAGCAAGCAAAAATAATTAGCGGGTTTCAAGGCAATGAATTTGTCGCTCTAGTAACTGACTAGGCTTTTGCAGATGTTTTTCAGAATTTCATGGTCGATAATTAAAGGGGTTAAGTGTTTCCACAAGCTTCGACGACAATGCCTAAATAAATAAGTACACGCCTAGTTCAGCATCTTTTTATCTCATTAAAGACGATGCTGGATGTCTTACCAGCATTCGACATAGACGATTAAATGCGTACTTGTTCTTCAGTTTCTTTCGATGTCCTGTCAGTTTTAACCAGATCTTCCCATCTTGTTGGAGGTCTTCCTGGCGGCTGCCTGCTATTGGGCTTTGCAGTCGGTTTCCGCTTCGTAAGGCAGCTGTTTTGCATTCATTCGCCAGAGCCGCACCACTTTAAATGCCTTGTTTGCAGCCAGTCGTTTACTTTATTTGAGTATTCTAATCTCTCTCTCTCTCTCTCTTATAACAGCATTTGGCAGTAGGTCATGCCATTTCACTCTGAATACCGGTTTTAAAATCTTAATTTTCGTCTCTTCCTCTTTTCCGTTTTCAACGTCATCAAGTGCTGCCGTCTCTAAGATGTAGCCAATGATTTTCAAAACGAGGGTCTTGTGTATCCTCATTGGATATATTGTCAGCATCGATACCCTTTCAGAATTTGAATAACTTGTTCACTGCTAGTGCCAACGCACAGTGCTTCTTACCTTAATTCGTCCGCAGCGAATGTGCTTTTAAGATACAGTTGTTATGGCACCCTTTTCGACATCTTCGGTTTAAAGAGTCAGACAGTCTTTGGCCTGGGTTCCACTAACTTTCATCCACTTTGTCTTCTTCAAGTTAATCGAAAGGCCCAGACTAGAAGACATCTGTTTCAAGATTAGGAATGATGATATTGCAAGTAACATAACATCTTCCAGAAATGGGACAGAGTTTACGCACATGTCGCTCACTCTTGTCGCCGTAGATTCACCTCTTCGTATTGTCAGGAGCATCCAGTAAGGAAATATCGCAAATCGCCCTGGATATTCCACCTCTCGTTGCCTTATTCAAAACTTTATACGAAACAATTTGATGAACCTGTAATCGGTTTGACTTATTATGCGCGCTTGAAATATTATACATATTTTTAATTATGCGTATAATTTTTGGTGTGGTTTCCTCTTGTTCGCCAACGTCCCACCAGGTATCTCGCCGGACTGAGTTAAGTGCCTTGCTGAAGTCAACAAGTATTGCAAAGAATTTTGGTCTCCATCCTCTTTTCTTTTTTATTGGCTGTCTCATTTTGAATATCGGCTCCAAACTTCCTCTGCCTGCACTGAATCCAAACTGTTCTTTTCCTAGATCTTCTCAAGAAGTTGAGTGAATGTTTAAGCAGGAACTGATAATACGCTGATTTCATGATAGTTATTTCTACTTGAGTTTGAATACAGGGACCGCAATACCTTCCGCGCAGTCATTTGGAATTTACTTTTTTTGCTAGATCAATCCAAGGAAACTCACTAATGCTAGCATTTCGTTTATTCCCGTCTCCTTGACTACCTCTGGTTGTATTCCATCAATTCGTTCAATTCTACAATTTTAGAATTGAAAATGCTAAAGGTTCCAGTGAGGCCCACTGTCAGCATCTGTCTTTTGTCCAGGTGTCAGATGACGCAGCGAATATTATTTCAGAATCACATCAATGTTTAGTAACGATTCACGGTGCTATCTCCGTACTTCAGTGACTTCTGCTGGACTGGAGGTGATGCTACCGTCCCCTTTCATAACGGATATTATTCGTGATTTGTTTTTGTCGAAGTAGCAAAGGACATTCCTGTTCGTGTCATTTTTCCGAGCCGCATCTTCCATTATTTCAGCTTGCCTCTTCCAGAAAAGTACTTTTTGTTTCCTTAATGATCTTACAATTTCTTTCTGTACTTCTCTTCTGAAGCTTGATCCATTCTTCCAGCCTTTTAGTTTAAAGACTTATCGACGGCTTCCTTTGTTATTTCTTCCGCCCCAATTTCTATTCTGCCGTTATTACTCTACTTCTTTGTACATGTTCAAAGCTTTTTCCATCTACGTATGGCCTGTCTATCAGTAAAAGCTTTGAATCTTCCGCTATTCCTGACCTAATATGCTTCGGATACTTTAGTTTTGCTGTAAATGTTTGACTACTAATCAACGGCCG